AGGTTGTGGTTAGAGCCTGAGAGAGCTGTCCTCCACTGACCCCTCATCCTCTGATCTACACATCTCCTCCATCAGAGCTGTCACCAACATCTAACCGACATTGTGACCTACATTAAAGGGTCAAATCATGACAGATCAAATCTTCCTTGAACTTTTATCTTGAAACAAAATAATATATTACCCCTATTCAGATAGGGTATAGCTTTATATGGACAGGTGGGTTTAATATAAAAATTACCCAAATTTCTCGATAGTATCTTCTGAAATTCCAGCTAAAATACAAGTCTGCTATCCATAATATTGCTTTTTTTTTTTTTTTTTACAGTGAATCAGGAGAGAAATATGCACAGATCAAGCACCGTTTACAAGTGAAAACAGTCCAAAACAGAAGTTCTAAAGCAATATATCAGTGGATTTTGGTGTGAGAAGAGAACAGGGGGCAGACTTTTTCACTGGAGCAAGCATTATTATGGATTATGCACTAATTTCAGCAACGGTTTGCCTTGATGGATTTGTTTCTTACAAACACGCAGCTTTTCACTTCACAAGATGCTAATCAATGGACTGGAGTGGTGTGGATTACTTGTAGATTATTGTGATGTTTTTATCAGCTGTTTGAACTCTCATTCTGACGGCACCCATTCACTGTAATGGTGAGCAAATACTGTGATGCTAAAATTCTCAATCTGTTCTGATGAAGAAACAAACTCATCTTTATCTTGGATGGCCTGAGGGTTAGTAAATGTTCCGCAATTTTCCTTTAAAAAGGGCTTGTTTACTTCAAGGGTCAGCAAGAAAGTGGAAAATGGACATAAATGCTATTTTTGGCTACAAAAACATAAATGGACCCTTGTAAACTAACAACAACAATAATAATACATGGGATAACTACATAAAACAGCAAAAGTTTTTATGAATATTGTGGCAGTACATGGACGAACAACACTTTTGGAAAATCTTTACACCACAATCTTGTAGAACAGAAAAGCTCTGTCTGTTTTAGTGAAACAATCACCCTTCTCTGTCAAGATGTTTATGAGAATAGCTTAATAATAAGGCAGATGGGGAGCAAAAGAGTTTTAAGAGTTCTAGCAAACATGTAGTCTGAGACGACCAAAGTTCGGTTTTATGTTCCCATGCGACACATAACAGCAGAAGCTTCAATATACAGATGTTCATGGTGTGCTCTTTTCTAAGTAAATGTTGTTAGGTCAAGGAGGTGAGCAAGCCAGAAAGGTCAGATGAAGTAGTACAAAGGAAGAAAATTACACCTGACAGTGAATGTAAAAGGTGTACAAAGCAAGACATGGACTTATGCTTTGCTACCCGTTGCTCCAAGAACTTGTACAAATGACCACCAGATGTCAAAATACAAGTCAATACAACAAGCAAACAACCAAAAGCATTAGTATATGAGAATTAATCAATCAACAGGTCTTCTAGATTCCTGGAAGTGAACATCACCTTAAAGGGTACTTTCACACTCGATTCAACTGCCTGGTCTGCAGAGTTTGCTCCTGCTTGGGTCCAAACTGCAGTATATTTGCATCATCAAAAGAAAACAGTATTCACATCGTGTAAACAAACACGGGTACACACCAAAAGTGCTAGTGGGAAAGCACTGTAAATCAAAGATGGGTTACGGAACCAGGAAATGTTTTTTTCATGAAAATATCCATTAAATTTGTGTTGAAACAGAAGTAGTGGCAGGTCTTTTCTTCCTTATTGTGACATACATCCAAGTGTAATGGATAATCGAAAAATAAAAATGTAGGACAAAGACTTGGTTTTATACATTGGTTTGTTGATTTGATTTTGAAATGTGGGCATTAAAGCTGCAGTCCGTAAGTTTTGCCTCTTTGTCGCCATCTCTGTTTGAAAACCTGCAATTGCAGCTGTGTGCGGAATTATCTTCCTTGTGTGGGTTGTGTGCCGGCACGGCTCCAGCGCAGATGAATCTAATGTTTTGAGTAGTATGTGTGGCAGTCAGTCACCGCACCGGTGTGGATATTGTACTTTGCACTCACAGATTCTAGCCTACGTCTTGGAATATATGACTTAAATAAGCATTTTCAACGGTCATCTGAACAAGTAAGAAACAAGTCTGCCATGTTTGTTC